TGCTGAAGACAAGAGTAGGAAGTGATTCTGCTTCTAACTGGAATAAAATATGTAACAATTAACATCAACCGTTCAAAGGAGGATTCAGACATGACAAAGATATGAATACACACCACTGTACATACACATATTCATACTTTACACTATACATATGACTATGAACACAGCTCCCTCAGTCTAAACATACATTACCTGGTTGTCCGACTGCATTCAGTCGCACCATGAGATGTCTCTTGTTTGGACAGTGCAAGTGAACATCGGAAAGCACAGTGTCACTTCTAAATGTGCGGTTATCCATCGCCTTCTTCCTTATATCTCCCATGACGTGCTGGTGAGAGGGACATCTACAGTACCCAAACAGTCTGCTACGAAGCGCTGTCACAAAGTGATTTGGTACTTTTCTACTAACAGCCGTCAAGTAACAGTTTTGCTCAGCAAGATAACCTCATGACATAGTTTCTGAGAAGACCTCAGGCAAGATGTGATCATGCAAGCTCCACCATGCTCCAACATGAAAGCAAGCTGCACATCCAACACAGCCAGCTTTTAGTGACATCCTGACGCTGTCTGAACATTGCTCCAGCAATATTTTAGAAAATAAAAATCAGATTACGCTGTTCAATAAAATTGCAATGCTCCAATGCTCTCTTTTACAATGCTCCAAAGAATAAACAAATACATAACTGCTAGTAGCTCACTGCCAGACATCGCGTATTTTAGGAAGAGCTACTAACTAGCTTGCATTAAAAACACCCCCCCTGAAAAAAACAGATGTTACCAGGAATGCACAGACTTACAATGCTAAGTCAAGGCCTTCAAGGGAACAGAAGGCCTTGTGTGCACAACTTCACCATTTTAAGGGATCTTGTTCTTCACAGGGATCTCTGAATTTTCTCAGAAACAGACACAATTGGCAAATGCACTATCATAGGTTAATCCCCAAATTTTGTAAAGAGTATCTGCTCTTCCTGAAGAAAACTGAGCTCCTTTTATATGCCTCGACTAATCGGGCAGTTAACATCTCCTGTCTTTGGCGCTCTTTATCCTTCCCCAGAAAAAAAATATAAACACCTGAAATCATCGTTATAACCTAATGTCCAAGACAGAGTCATTTCTCTGTCCTTAGGCACAAACAAATCAATCACTTCTTATGAACAGAAAAATGAAGAGAGTACTTCTCTCCCTACGCTCTACAAAGCCTGACATTTTGTGAGGGTGTGAAACACTAATGAACCGTAGATCTGAAACCAAAATTTTGGCTTTAAAAACTGAGATGACAAGCTTAGATCACATACACAAACCATCAAGCACTATATGAATGACTTGGTCAACAAAGACACCCGGGTCTCACCAGCTATGAGCCCCTTACGTAAAAACTGCTGATGCCATTTCTGGTGTCAGCATTAACACCCTGGCAGATTAGGCTAAATTTTCTATCATCTGCTTGTGCTTGAACAAGATCATAAACATACGGGCTTAACAAGCTTCAAGTGACACCAGCAGCTTCATAACTTCAGCTACGAAGT